CATTGGGGGGGGGGTCCCCTAATCGGAACTTTTACCATACTTTTATTTTAATAATAATAAATTTTATTATTAATAATAATCACGATTAAAAAATGACATTTCAAATTTTATTATAATAGTTGAGAGAAACAAAATTTACACAGTATATATTATGCAAAACTTACACTAGTATATTAATCTTACAATTTTCAATTCTGAAATAGTCTCATTAGCTAAACCAATTTATATTCACAAAAGAATATGTAATAATTTTTTCATCATTGCAATACTTGGTAAGAACTCGTCAAAATGCAAATCCTTCCGCAAACTTTTGTATGAGAAGATTGTTTACACATTTTCTACTTATCAGTATAACTTTTTTCTGCTCGTAAAATAATGATCTTTATAGATATATATATATATACACACACACACACACACACTGTTAAAAAAACAGAAATTTGCTTCCGTTACATGTAGCGAAAGCAAATTTCAAGCAGGTACATTAAACATATTTAATGTTGTCAATGAAAATGAAGTTATAAATAACAAATTTAACGTTTACTTATATTAAATTGCAAATCTACGTAAAATTTAATAAAAAATGTACTAAACTTCGCAAAATTTTATGAAAAGTACACTAAATTTCATGTACATGTACACAAATATACTTTTCAGTTGCAGATGCATTAAATTTAATTTAGTGTCATAAAATTGAATTTAATTTATGTAACTTAAAAGTATATTAAATTTTATGACATTTTTAACAGTGTGTGTATATATATATATATGTATGATTGCAAAAATGTGTTTTATTTATATAAAGACCATAAATATGACTTTGCAAAATTTACTGTTGAAAAATTCTGTTTTTTAAAGATAATATAAAGATATGTTTTTTAATGATTATTCCCGTCCTTCTACCATAGATTTAATAAATATTTATGTTGCTGTCTACCTGGTGGTTCCACTGTCTGCGGTAGAAGTAGAACGGAAAGCAGTATTACGCAGGAAAATATTTTTTTACAAAAAAGTCGATGCATTAACGAGACCAACGCTTCCACGGCTCGAAGACGAACACAAGAGTTTAATTCAACCGGGGTATTTGAAATGGGCAGTGTAGAAACTAAGCCTCCCGTGGTGGCCGAAAATCGATCTCGTAAGTAATTTGAAGTATAAGCAAAATGAAGTATAAGTAGGTATCAATGTAAATTGTAATGCAGGTCGCAATACTATCACTGCTGATAATATTGGAGCATCAAACAAATAATTAAAATTTCATCAGGACAGTCGCCTTACGGTAATGCTGCAGATTTTCTATTACGAAGATTAAAAGAAATGCAGTCACAGAGTTCAGAATTTTATTCGAATAAATATTTCCGTAATCATTTTAAAGATTATGGATGCCGTTTGTAATCATTTTGTTTATAAGAATATCAATTTGAGTATATATGTATGTTTTACACTACACTACGTACCTTTTCAGATACGTACTTTACTTTAAATAGCATTTGTGCAAATTCACTGCAATTCTTTTTTTCGAAAGAGTTCTTTCAAGCGACTAATATACTTTTCACATCATCAAACTTTTTTTTGAAGATTGATGTATAATTGAATTGAATATAGAGAATTAAGAAGAGTTATAAATAATTTTTTAGTGAGATTAGAAAATTTAATAATTAAGAAATTAGGAACCAGTTTTTCAAAAATAACATTAATCTTTTTATATAAATTTAATAAAATCGTATAAACAACGAAAACTGAATTTGTTCTTTGCCACGAGAAATAACTGGGTCGTAAAAAAAAGATTAAAAAGTAAGAAATACAACGACATCGAGCTGATAAGTATTCGTTTCATTATCTCTTTTATGGTGGTAATTGGTTCACCGAGTTAAATTAAATCTACAAGTGTTTTATGAGAGTAAAAACGTGAAAATATGAAACAGATGACATGAAACAAAACTCATTTAAAATCTCTTTAGCTCAACTGAATTGTGTATAAATAGCTAGCATTACTTATGCATTTACAGATGCATATATAAATTATATAAGTCTTTTCAAAGTATGCTCATTACATAGAAATGTTTTCCTCTATCGTTCGAAAGTTTGTAGTATAATGTATTGACACTATATGAGCAAATTAACGCAAAATTTTACTTAGTCTACAGTATATAAATATCATAGACTAAGTAAAATTTTGTACTATAAGAAGCTTCTCACTGTAATATTATTTATATTTAAATTAATGTATGATGTATATTACTTATTGTTAATCAGCTAATATAAATAAATATTTAAAATAATTATTTAAAATAATATGTTTAAAATAGTATTCCAAAAATAATTTAAGTAAAGGAAACTTTTAAGAATCAAGATAATGTCTGAGATGATTACACGCTGTATATCATTATAAAAATGAGATATACTAAAATTACTGATACTCATACAGTCTTCGATTTGAGGACATATATGTATGTATATGTTACTTGTATATTATATATATTGTTTGTATATATACTTGTACTTGTATATGTATATATGTATATTGTTAGAAGCATTGTGTACACATTTCGTAGGAAGAGGCAACATTAGGATATTTTCCACATGTTTCTTTTCCATGCGGTTGAACTGCATTAACTGCATTAAACAAAAATTAGATATATGGTGTATATTACTTGTTGTTAATTAGTTAATATAAACAAGTATTTAAAATAATATGTTTAAATAAGTATTCAAAAAATAATTTAATAAAGCAAACCTTCAAAAATCAAGATAATGTCTGAGATGATTACATGCTGTATGTCATTATAAAGACGAAATGTACTAAAACTACTGATTCATAAAGTATTCATCAAGAAAAAACTCGATTTGAAGACATATATGTATATATGTTGCTTGTATATGTATATTGTTAGAAGCATTGTATACATTTCGCATCGAGCTAACATTAGGATATATTCCATATGTTTATTTTCCATACGGTTGAACTGCATTAACAAAGATTGTAACTGTATGTACCATATGTAAAAACTGTATTGTTTTCTCTTTGGCGTAAATAAATTTTATGGGAACGTACACATGCAAAAATCACTTGGACGTCGAGTAAAAATAATCGATACGAGACTCCTCGACACGCGTGCAACGTATCCTCGCTCGCACGTGCCACTCGTCGTCCTTCCCTTCAACGGGGCACGCGTATAGGTAGAGAGAGGAGAAAAGGGGGTTCTTGCATCTGCCGTTCGTTTGGTTAGACTTTTTACACGACGGTTGAACAGCTGGATTTCGAAGGGGATTGAAGGTAGACCTGGTAGACAGACGCCCTCGCCTGAGCCCCCTTCAACAACGGTTGTGAAAATGAGGGGGTTAGTAGTACGGAACCATCGACGTTAGTCAACGGTCGTGTCCATTGACAGTCTACTTGTAGTTAACGATAATGCTGTATTTTTCGTGATAAACAGAACACAAAGAAGGTGATCTTTTTTTTACGAGCAAGGATTGGATGAAGAAATTTTACGCGGCACAAAGCCGTGTGTCTGCGAGCGCGAGAGAACCTCTCGATATACTTCGATAACGTCAAATAACAAGGATACAACGGATAACTAATCCAAACTTGAGGGATAAACTTATAGAGCTGCACGTTTGTAGTTGAAGGCAGAAGCGCGTAAGTAACACGAGATATCATTACTTCCAGATGACGTATTAAGACAAATGGATACTAAACTTGTAGCTTCATTCTATATGTTTCATATTTTGTACTAATTTTATTATAAAGATTACAATGTCATCGTTTTATAAAAATTTGATAATTTGTTAGAGTGCTTATTCTTGTAGCAATGTCGCATAGTATAGTGAACGAATTTTTAAATAATATAATATTAGATTCGTGTATTTTCACGAATTTGACATAACAGATGTTGAGATTGGAAAACAATAACATAATTAACTTCATATAATCTCACGAAAACATTTATATATTCAGACATAATGGATATTGTACATACAGCTAATACACAATGATCTGAAATTAATGCTTACAAGGCATTATCAACGTACAATGAAAAATCTGTAACTATTATGACATATACTAAATTTTCCTGTGATAATGTTTAGACAATATCATATAAAATTAAATCACATAAATTAAAAAAATCGACTAATAAACTAAAAGATTATAAGTCAAAATAATTTTAAATACTAACGATTATATGATTTGCAACTTTGATTACATATTATATTGCAAAGCGGTTTTAATTACAAGTTTCGTAAAATGTGACGTTAATTATTCGCTATTCAAGGATTGTGCAAGCCTGAATTTTGATGTGTTATTCCAGTTACAATATCTGTTCTTGTTATACACGGTTTATTGGCGGGTTGATTATGATCCACTATCGTCGTTATATTGCAGAATTGCGTTTAAATTGACGACTATTGACGTTGATTTGCGAGAGAACTGTAATGATGGTCATCTATAACAGCTTTCTATTATTGCTTCAAATTGTTAATTACGGTCTGACTTATATTTTGATTTTTGTATTCCGAATTATCGTGCGATTTTTATGTATCATTTTAATTATTACCGATTATTACAACATTGATAATGACCTCATGTTTAGATAAAAATGTTTATTTTAATATATGTGAATTTTGTGTTGTACTGAATTAATATTAAAGTACCTTTTTTTAGTCGTAATCCCTTGATCTATTATAATTGAATTGGATAATTACACATTTGAGCAGTTTTTATTTTCTCATCTTATTCTTAAATAAAATAAAATAAATATATTGAGAAAAAATTTACTATAGCATAGCATATTTTTTCAATAATATTAATTAAATATTTACATTATTAAAAGATGATACTTAAATAAAATTAATTAAATTGTTGAAAATATAAATATATGTTTACATTTAGTAGATAAAATATTATATCTACTAAATGTAAGTATTATTTCCAACAAATATTTATTAAAAATTAGTATATTTTTTCAATGTACAACCAATCTTCTGTATAACTATCCTTTAATATAAATAAAATGCGAAATAAAACGCGAAAATTGAATTAAAAATAACTATAAATAGTTATAATAACTGTAACAATTTTAATAGTTGAGTATTATTGTTTTATAACATTTTTGGGTTTTTTGAGCAGAAATTTATTTGTTACTACTGTAATTAATGACAAATAAAATTTCTGAGGCGTAAAAAATCAATTTTTCGTTGAGTTATAGATGGACAAACGCTGAGCCAGATCATAATGAAGAGATACTCGTCGGTAAGATATTTATGATAAAGATGATATCTATACTTTTATAAAATAATTAATATACAGAGTGATCGCGATATTATTATAAATAAACGTTCCTAATAAAACAGAATAGAGATATATGTTTAAAATTGTAAAAAATTATATAAGAAATTGTTTTAATACAATTATTGTGTGTGTGTATTCAGGCACCTTGTTTAGAAGACATTGGCAGTGACTCTAAAAGAATAAAAAACACTGAACAATACGCGGTAAGTTAAACTTATTAATTATGTCATTAAAATATGATTAATGGAGATTATCAATATAATTTTTACATGGAATGTATAAATAAAAAAGTTTTCTTGCATATTTCATTTTATTAACAATGTAAAAGTTTATTCTCTTTTGCATTTTAAATTATTAATTAATAAAGTGTAGGAGATAGATAAGTAATTATTTAATAAATAATTTTCAATTAATAAATAAAGATATCTGACGTTTTAGAAATAAAATAATTAATATTCCAAAAATGTCTTTAGCGTAAGTACGCGTTCCGTGTAATGTGTATTCGAGTGTAAATATTATAGGCGTATCATCTTTCTGCAGGATCCAAATACAAGAGAATATCTCCAGTTGGCTTTAGCCAGAGTCCTAGAATTACAACGAGAGATCAGTGAAGGCACATACGTCGCAGAAATCGATGATGGTAGCGATCTGAGTAATGCAAAATTTTTCCTGTTGTTTTCAAATCTTTTTTCAAGCATTGCATGACTCAAGGTACTCGATATCAACTTTTGTAACATTCTGCGATAAAAAAAAATGTCGTGCACTCTAGACCTTCATAAAGTTTTAATCGAAGTTTATTTCCTTTGTCTAATATACTGCGACAAACCTTGAACTTTTCTTTATCATGTTAAAATGATTTATCTATAAATAATAATTGGTTATCATAATAAAATGACATTTTTATAAAAGAAATTGATTTCTCTATTGTCGACATTGAAAACAAGAGAAGTTTGGAGTTGGTTTCCACAAGGCTTATATCAATTATTACAGATATCTTGAAAGATTCTGCGTGAAATTTAATTTCACATAATATAAAAATTATATTGTGGAATGACATCAATCTGTATACATATAATTAAGTGAAAATCATTCTCGTAAAATGTCTTAGCACAGTTTCATCAAATTCACATATGAGCTTCAATGCAATAAATGACATCAATTTCCGTATTGTCTGCATGATATATGGAATAAAATAAGAATTGTTTTATTGGTTTAAAAAATGTTGGTTATTTATAAGTGGCAATTTTAATATCCTGAATTTATACGATAAAATTTTTTAATAAAATTTGCACACACAAATTGAAAATTTACTTTTTAATTGTTAAATGCTTTTTTTATTTGCTTTTTATCTTCCAAAGCCAAAATACAAACTGCAATGCATACAAAATAAATATTTTGGTAAAATATCTCATATTTCCATGTAGGGTAAAAGCAGGGATTATGGAATAGCTTTTTTTAAATTAACATTGTTCTGATATAAATGCATATGAAGACTTCAAATTTACACAGAACTCTTGAGGAATATGTTAGCTACAACATCCAATAAATGAAAGTCGCCAAAATTTAAGTCCAACGCAATATTAACAAAAAAGTCAAAAGTGAGAAAATGGGGGGGTCTAAAAAATGGGATGTAATATGGAATACCGATGAAATTTTGGCCATAGTAATAAATAACACAATAAATGATATATATATATATATATATATTATACAATACACAGAAAATATAATAGCATCATTACGAACGTTATTACGCATGGATAAATAAAAAATCGCAAATAAGCTGATAAATCGCAAATAAACTGATATAGAATACATGCTGTAATCTCACCTAACCTAATCTGATCACGAATAAGTTGCTAACATGCATGAAATCTATTCCATATTCTCAACCCTCGATGTATTCCACATTACCTGCATGTCGTCATATGACAAATAAAGTCTTTCCATAGCAATAAACAAGTTTAAAATAGCAATTAATCTGCATAATATTGTTCATGCAACATTATTAAAAGCGTCTGTGCAATATAAGCATTAAAAAAACTTACCTTTAGTTTGTGAGAACACTTTTTAAAAAAAGCTGCCGAATCTTCTGACGTAACGAAAATGAGTAAATATTAATTGTAGCAAAACGGTTGGTCGGATCGAGTTCATTGCTTGTTATGACATGTTTGGTAACAGTTGCAATAACTTTCAGCGATTACCGCCAGATTGCAATGCTTTGTTTAAAAAATAAGCCACTATTCCATATTAGTAGCCCATGCCATAATCCCTGATTTTACCCTATGTATGAGTTGATATTTACTTTCCTATTTTCATAATCTTTAAGACCGTAACCGTCAAATTTATGCTATTAAAATATTTTCATTGTTTTACAGACGCATCCGGCAGTGAGGAAGACCTAACAAAAGAAATTCTTACTAAAGTGTTTCACGATCTACCTGGGACACCCAGTTCTCTCGCTAAAATAATAGATCGAGAAACGCGCTGGAAAAATCACCGCATAGATGCCATTCATAGTAAAAGAATACAATTACTAGGTTTCGATACTTGTCGAAGAATGGCCCTTGAATTCATGGGAACCATCATACGGGAATCGCGAAATAAGTCCTGCTCATTAAATATGATCGGACTCGACAATTTTTCACAAAACGAATCATTGCATTTCAAAGATGCAATTCTAGCTAATGATTTTCGTAAACGGGAGTCCAACACGCATGAAATTCAAGCGAGAATGTTGAAAAGTTTGGATTTGCATTTGGCTGCTAAACAAAGAGACTATACGTCAAAATTAATGAAATCGGGTATTTAGTACGACACCTTTGAATGGGAATAGGTTGAGTGAGGAAAATTCCCGAATTCAATATATTCTTCAATATATGGCGCATTATTGGAATTAATATAAATGAAAGTCCAGGGTATATATGTTCGTATGATATCTCGTTACTCATTAAAATGATATTACCTTCGTCATTCGTGACAAAAATTTATAAATTATAATTTTGTTTTAAAAAATTTTACAGTAATATTGTCAAATTAGTTTCAGATATATAAAAACTCTAAAAGAATAATCAATATTTTCCGTTTAGTGAAGTAACCGATGTCACAATTCTTGTATTTATGAAAAACTATCTAGTCATGTGTGAAATTGAAATGATTTGCTAGTCATAACTTGCCTGATTATTCTATAAAGATTTCTGCAGATTATTCAATTATTTTACATAGCTATATGTATATCTTTATATATTTACATCTATATATCAAAGTACAATTGATCTTTAATAATAAAAAAAGTTATGAGTGTGATCTCCTTCTGCTTATAATATAAATAAAAGGAAAGTAATAATAAAGGTTTTATTTTTGCAATGGAAATTATTAAAGTTATTATTTTATTCATCATTGTATTTAATTATGTTTTAATAATTTCTGATTTTCGAGAATTTAAATTTTAAAGTTTAAACAATTCTCGGAATCGTATATTTTTATAAGTATTCATGAAAGTTTCCGGCTTACACTTGGAAAATTTCGTACTGTATAAATCCAGATAAATAAATTAATTTTAAACAAACAATTTTAACATTATAACATTATAACTGATTATAATTTCTGGTTAAATTTTTTTAGTTACTTGATTTTTTAAAATACAGGATCTATTAATTTCTAAAGATCTATTTTAAGAGTCATGGCACACAAAAAACTTAAGCGTAAAACGTAAGCAGTAAGCAAATTAACTAATCACAGTAGAGTCTGTAAGACTATAATGTGTAAATAACCAATCCAATATATTGATTTCCTTACTGCCGTCTTGCTGCCTTAAGTTTTTCGTGTGCCTAATAGGTTTGAAATTTTTTCTGACTTATTGTACTAGGTATAATATTATATATTAGTGGTATCAAAGGAAATAGATTTTTTAATTATCCTTATCTTTTATATAATAAAAAAATGAGATTAAAACAAGAGATATATAAAAGACAAACTTTGTAAAAAAAATTTATTCAGAGTGTACAAATAAAAAACTCTAAAGCTTTCAAACTATGAATAATATATCTTAACCACATAATATACATATTACAAATTATAATTCACTTCTCAACGTTCAAACGTGTAGAGTCATATTTAGCAGTCGAAACATCGGAAGATCGACTAGATCAACTGCTCATTCAAAGGAAGACATGCATAGCACACGTAAATTATTTTAGCAAGTAAATTATTAAACAAGTAAGCTAATCCTCGGAAGCGCGAATATCAGATTTGTAGCTTAATTATTGCATTAAATCTGAAAAAACTTCGCGTTTACGTCTAAATAAATATTATGCGTGTTTATGCAATAAACTATTTTAATAAAATACAGTAAAGTATCAGTGAATCAACGACGTGTAAGGATAAAGATTAATTTGTGTACATATTATTCCGCAAAGTTTTGCTTGTTTAGCCGGAATAATATTTTATACGGGAAATCATAGCAAACTCATGCAGGACTTTGAATTCAAAAATTTAACACAACCGTTGATTTAAATCATGTTCAAAATGCATGTATCGTTAAATGTCTGCGTCTTACATTTACATTTTACATTTATATACGCTAAAAATACATATTTTGGTAAGTCTTTAAAATAATGAATTCAAATAAAATTTATAAATATAAATAACAGAAAAATTTGTTTCAAAGATCCAATAGTAAAGATAAAAGTATGTATCAATTGTACGTTTAAATCATTGTATACAATAAATCACAATACTTATTTCGTAGAAAATTACTCGAAATAACAAGCTCTCTTTTTTTATTGCAGAAAATCATAATTTATAACGACATCAGTCACTAATAAACTAGTAAAATTTCTGTCTTTTCTGATAAGTCATTTTAATGTTAAGATTTGTTTTCGATCATCCATTTCGTTGCAAAGAGTTTCTCTATAATTTATTTATATGTAAAATGATATACTGGTTAATAATTTGTAGATTATTACGAATTACAAATAATTATAAACATATTACATTGCTGGTCAAAATATAAATTAGTCATTATAAAGGAAAAATAATTCCTGTAATTACATCTAATATCTATCTTTTATAAAAATATAACGTCTTAGAGTACCCAGAGATAAGTTTTTCACTATTTTGATCGTTTCATAAAAGGCCAGATAATTAAGGCGTAATCTCTTAAAATCAATAATTATATTTTTCAACTAGCATATAATCTGAACATATTCCGTTATTTTTTTCAACATAATTGTAAATTCGATGGAGCACTCAAGCAATAAAATGTGACAATAAAAGAGATCATAAATTTGATCAAAACGATCACAGCACGGAATAAAAGTTTCGCAACATATTTTGAAGGAAAAAATTTTTTTAAATGCTGAGATACGAAAAGATACGATGATATATATATGCGCAGCGTCAACTGACAATTTCTACGCGCTACTATTTCTCTATCACAAACAATTTTCAACATCAAATCCCCATCCATTCTATATACAAATCTGTGCGTATGCTTAGCACGATAGGTAATATACTTTAATCCATGAAATGAGCTACTATGAATTGAACAATACTATAAACTATTGACAAAACTGTGAGTCCCGCGATGCGTAGAGGGCTCGAGTCATGGGCTTCCAATTGCTAACTATTAAAAAGGTATATTTTATCGGTATCCTACCGGGATATCTATAGACCTATCGTCAAAGTCGGTCGGTACACAAAATATTGCCAACTAAGATATATTTATACTTCAAAATCTGTGCGTTTCTCTATTATATAAAAAAACTTTTGAAATCAGATTTTTTTTTCATTTTTTTTGCATCTATTCCGATCGCAAGTAAATTAAGTCAATGCATCATGCCTTTATAAGATACTTTTCATGTAGCTGCCACTATAAAATATTAATAATAACAATGATCCAATTTCCCTCTTTGTAATAATAATAAATCCCAGAATTATAAACAAGTAAGTAAATAATCTTTTATAGTGCCGTGAATATAGAGCTAATTCTTGATGTAAGCGAAGAATACCTTGCTTCAATGGTGACATAAATCAACTTTCGAAAATCTTATAAGTCCTTTTAATAGAAAAATATATTATAATTAAAATTTATACAAATTAATAACATTTTATCTTGTTTATTTGATTTCCTTTTATTGTAAAATTTTTTAATACCATATGCAAAATCATATATCGATTGACCATTGCTTCGTATTACTTCTTTTTAGGACTTTAAACTTATATTTCACAAAATTTGATTTACATCACTTTTAAAACGAACTTCCTTAGTTCTCTTAGTGCTGCTGCACGAGAGTGAGCCCGTTTCCGGGATTTCTCCAGGGATCCGGTATGTCGAAGTGCGCGGGAACGGTTATCAGAGCATCCGCAGCAGTACGGTCGCCGCTGCAGTTCTGCGGCTTGTCGCGAGTCGTGTTAACACACTCGATCGGCAGCTTGAAAAACTCGAGCTTGTAATTGTAACCCTGGCTGGTGATGCGGATTATCGTGTGCAGCGGCACCTCCATGTAGGGCAGCTCTTCAGGTTTCTTATCAAGGAAGAATCCGATGATGCAGCGTAATATCGCTTGATGTGACACTACGAGAACATTGTTAGAACACTGCAACTCGGCAATCACCGGCTCGACACGTAACATCGCGTCGATGTAACTTTCGCCCCACGGATAGCGATAACGCAGCTTATCTTGATCGCGCCAAGCGAACTCCTGTTGTAAAATTATAAATAGACATGATAACATTGTTATGGTTATCTCGCATGCTTAGAAGAGATTTCCAATAAAATATTGATTGCTCGAACTTCGTCCCAAATTGAATCATGTATGACTCGAAGCTCGATTATTTTTAGCTGACAATCGATATTCTGCTTGAGTTTACTTAAAAATAGCAATTACCTGCGGATAACGCTCCTGCATCTCTTCGTATGAGAGGCCTTCACACACTCCCGCGTGAAGTTCATTTAAAGCGGCTATGTGTTCTCGAGGGCCTTCGATGCTACCCACCGTTGCGATAGTTCTACGAAGGCGGCTGGTGAGAATTCGAAGATCGGGAATACGCATGGCGTTGAACTTATTTGATAAGGCTTGAGCATAACGCTCACCTCTGGTGCTCAATACCGCATCGCCACCGATTTTACCAACCACGTTGTACTCGCTTTCGCCATGCTGCAGTATACAATACAAAAATGTAAACTGAAAGACGCGAAGTAAAATAGAAAATAAAATAAACACAATAGCGGTAAAATACATAATTATGAGCATGGAATACGTAATTATTCCAAGAAACTATTCATTTGCGAGTTCTTTTAATTCGTTATTAAATGTCGACGTTTCATGACATGTAATTTCATCAGACTGAGAAGCAATGAATTGGAGAGTATCAGATTGCTTCTCGTCGTGATGAACTAAACTGCAATGTTCACGAAACGTTGACATTTAACAATGTATTAAGACACGAAGATAACCCACAAACTGCGTAACTTCTTTGAAGAGAATATCCATGGAGAAGTCTCAAAAGTATTACATAATTATTCCATATTTGGCAATTATTATAGCGTATAAAAATATTTATCATAAAATATAAAAAAAACTTGAACTGTTTACCCTCGAGAAATAAAGAGTGTGAGGTTTGAGGCTGATATCTCCAAGGTAGCCAAGCACACTGGTTTCAATGTGACCGGATACTTTGCAGGTCTCGATATCCATGGTAGCAGTATTAATTTTGATCCTGGGGTAAGTTCTATCGTTCATAGATTCATACATTCCAGCGTAAAAAGCGATTTTTGAGCGCAGATCTTCCGCGGCCAAAGCGGTGTCTACCCCTGTATAGTCGGCGCAATGTCTTACGATCTCCTGTTGGTTGTACTCCAAGACTTCTGGATCATCGCAGACGCATTCGATGAAGAGAACGCGATAACCAAGCTGGCCGGAGAAGTAATCGTA